GACCCCTAGAATTTTTCATCTCCATCTGTAGCTACCCGAGTACTTTCGATGCCGTTTCGAAAGTTTGTGGAGTTAACCATCAGCAAAAATCTGGCGCTCGAGAACCGCCCGTAACCAGCGTCATTCGTAAGGAACCGTTTTCTCTGTGGCGAGAAAACCCCTTACAATCAAGTCAAAAAGCGTGGAAAATACGCCTAAAGCGTGACGTCTGGCAACCCTAACTATACTTGAAGGGGAAACGAGTCATAATTTTACATGCCGGAAATGAAAATGGCTTTGTACCAAACGCTTTGCTATTTTCAGCAAAAAATATGAATAAAGCTCTGCTGGATTATCATGAAGATATGAATGCAGCAGTTTTCGAGAACTGGTTTGCTGAACAACTTTTAATGAATATTTCACCTAATTCGGTCAATATTATGTTTATGTTTAATGCGCCATATCATTTCCGGCATATTCACAAGAAGCCAAATAGTGACTCTAAGTACTCAGATATAATAAAGTATTTAAAAAATAATAACATTGATATTCCTGCTTCCGTTAAAACAAAACCACAATTGTTACAAATTGTTAAAAGTAAGAATATTCCAATACAGTATTATGTAGACAATTTTGCAAAAGATGGTGGTTATACTGCATTAAGGTTAACACCTTATTATACTTAATCCAATTGAATTAGTTTGGTCTTCAGTTAAACAAAAAACTTAGACGTAATAATTTTGCACCTACCTTAACAAAATGTGATTTGGAAAATATTAATGGCGTTTTTAAAGATCCGTCTTTGACTGACGTTTGGAAAAACAGCGTTAGTCAGGTATGTACGCCTATGGCATATCAAACAAAATTGTTGGTAAGGGTTCGGAACAAGTTTTTATAGTCTGAAATTGATAATGGAAGAACTATATCCAATTAATAATTTAATTTATTTAATTTTAATAATATGTACGCTCATGTGCGCGGTCCCATTGAAATCGGTGCTAGTCGGTTATTATGCTGTTGGATTGTAATAGTATATTACATTATGAGTGTGGAAAGTGACACTTTTCACACGAGTTGGAAATATTGTCGCACGAGGCACAAGCCGAGTGCGACTATCATTATTCGAGTATGTAAAATCACTTTTCACACAAGTGATGTACAATATTTTTCCAACGACCACAAAATAATTTCATTAAAAAATGTAAAACCAGGTTATAATTATAATAATTAAATTGTATTTAAAAAAATAATCAACATTAATCGTATTTATTCAATTTTCATATTTTCTAAACCACAACCTAAAAATAAAAAAAAAATAAAAAAAAAAATAAAAAAAAAATCCTGCCCCCGCAAGGATTTAAATGTGGTCGCTCCCCAGGTCTCAAATGGCAAAGTTGATAAAGTTTGATACTCTAACCATCTGAGCTAATAGGCCTTGGGTAAATTGAATGATCCAATCGGTTATATGTATAACCAGAATAAAAAGCAAACATAACTTAGTTATTTTAAATTTATTTTAATAATAATTGTTAAAGAAAAATATCTAGGATCTACTTTACAACAATTTCAATAATTTTACAATCATATCGATTTTAGTATTAATATGGATATTACATAGATCAAAATAGAAATGATGCATTTGATATTTTGTGAAAGCTGATGCGGAAAGTAGCATATTCGTACACGGGTGGAAAGTAAATTCTTATTCATACGCGTGTGATATAGGGCACCTTCCATAAGGCTATATAGTGTGATATGTGTCACTTTCCTAAGTGGTCGTAGGAAAAATTCATTTCGGTGAGATTCGGCCACAGTCATTCTAAGAGGGTTGACTTATAGGTAATTATCTGAAACCATGGGTTCTTTCATTCGTCCCACTGGTGCACGAATGAACTACACCAATGCACACCATACCTTTCGTTTGGCCTGGTGTAAAATCCACTACACCTTTCTGTCAGCGATGTGGTGTCCACTGGTGCATATTTTCTCCACCAGCTATTTAGCAGGAGTGAATTACACTCGACATGTGTATCAGGAATAAGAAGGAATTAAACTAGGTAAATAAAGGTAGTGTAACTGGTGGACACTGCACTCACAGCGAACGAAAGGACCTCATAAATCAATATACAGATAAGACAATTTTCGGTTCAGTATAGGAGCGGAGTCGTATCTTTATATTATTTTTGTACCTAAGCTTTATTATAAGTTATTACTTTGTAACGCATAATTATTACTAGGAAAACCAAATTATGATAGATTTTCTTCGAAATAATTTGATTTAGACATTATTGTTAGTGTAACAACCACAGTCACTTAGAAAGTAACTGTTTTCACTAAATAACAATGTAGTGGCCAAAAGGACTCTAGTCATCAACGGAGGGTACACTGTAAGTGTAAAGGCAGCCTCTGTCACCAGTCACAATCAGGAGATAAGGTCTTTAGAGCTTATCCACTCTCACCGTGACAAAAAAAAGGAAAAAGAAAAAATAAAATAATAGGTTTAAGATAAAAGATTTTTCCCCCATGATGAATAGTGCGAGCGGGTTAAGAAAATGGTTTGGCAAACTGATAATAGGCACCTATAGTCCTTACTCGGGGGTAGGTTCGCCGGGGCTTCGCAAAAGTGCCCGGAGTGTCTTTTGACAAAAGGGGAAGGTAGACCTGATGAGGATGAAATATATATTCCACAGTTATGTATGTATTGGTTAAGAATTAAAGGAACACCTAAATAATTATTCAATTATCGAATTCTGGATTTTGTTAGATAGCTTATCTGGACTAGGGGTTGTTCCTCTTTATGGAACTTGGCCTGAACTCAACAACTCGTAACACACATAAGATAAAAACAGATGAACGTTTAACAACTCAACAACAACTTATTTAACTCAATATATTTAAACATGTAACAGTTTTTAATATGGAAAACGATCAAATAATAGCATATGTTTGGTACAAGATCCACCCTGAGGTTCTCGCCTGATTCGGTAAATCAACCGACGATAATAAAGTACCGTTAACTACTATAAGAAATAAATAGCAAAACGTGTCAGAAATCTCGTTGGATCTTGTAGCTATCAAAGTCAAAAAAATAAACTATATCACTTCCTATAAAATCTATGAAGAGAGTTAACTAAATAATTTGGCAAAATGAAAAGAGAACTGTCACAATTTTAATGTAGTGAAAGAGGAAGGCTCCTTGCTCGAAAAGTAGTTTCGATTTCACTAACTTTAAAATCGGTTGGCTGATATTTATTATTTAATCACAACTTTAGAAATTACTTTAAAATTCTAGAGATACGCTTTATCGGCGTCGGTGGGTAGTCGGACAGCGTAACGCCCGGCCCACTCAGTAACAGTCTCTCCCTCGTTCCCAAATCATTCAAATATTGGTTGAGACGTGCCTTTGAAATTTTTGATCAACTCATATATTTAATTTACTTTGATATTATAATAACTGTTTTTATGTAAAATCTTTAGATTAATTAAAATAATTGCCAAATTATTACATTATTGAGTAGGTAAATAAATAATCCTTCAATCCTGTCTATTTTTACTCATATTAATTATATTGAATTCGAACTACGATCCTGTAAACAACTTATAATCCTAAGCTTTAATTTGAACGGGTAGATGGTGGTTTTACGGTATTCGGGTATTTTAACACAACGTTGCCATATTAGGTATACCTTTATATTTGGGGTAGATTTTCCAGCAGAATTCTGTGACGACTATACAATTTTTTATTGTAGCGCAATTCGGCACAGAACTTATGACATACCTGAAATAAAAAATTAAAGAATTTACTTGATCTTGGGAAATTCGAATTTTTATTTTTATTTTTATGAGACCGTTAGTAAAATATATTCAATATTTTTTGATTAAACAGTTTTTTTAAAAATTACTTGAACATAGTTTACTTCAAATATAAATATCTTCAGCGCCTAAAGAAATTGTGGTCGATTTTGAAATATCTATTCAAAATGAAATTTTGGAGGTATGCCCAGAAAAAATATTAACAGGGGGTATAGGTAAATTCCTATACTTACTCTGAAAGTAGCAAAATCAGACGACAAAAAATGTTTGAAGCAGGACTTTTTTATTGTTATAGACGTCTAGAAATTATTTAGTTGCTAGCAAAAACGAAAAAATTCATCGATAAGAAACACTATTATTAATTTGATAGGTTACACGGTACCTTCCACCACCGGGACCTAATACATGTTGTCCAACCCCTTAGCTTATACCAAAGTACAAATAGCAGACAATATACATGACGTGCTGCCATTTATGCAGTCAGACGAGGGACTATAACGTTATGGGAGATTCAACGCATGTTCTTGCAACCGAGTGTTAGTAGTTAATAAGATTAAAATATTGTACAGTACGACAAGATTGAGATGGCAAGTCAGAATAAGATGCGCACTGGCAAATATAAAAATAGGAGGAGTTATCTCAGTTACTGCCGGAACTTTGATGCTATTATTTTTGATTTCACTTGTTTTAACTTAGATAACTCCTCCATTTTTAGATTTGCCAGTGCGCATCTAGTTCTGACTTTCCATCTGAATCTTGTAATATTTTATCAATTACTTATAATAGTTAAATTTTAACAATGTACTTTTATTACGTTTTAACATTTTTAAGTGTATCTAGCAATAATAATCTTATAACTGTTTTTACAAACTTCACTAAACAAGTCATTGTTAGAGTATTTCACACAGTTATAAGATATTATTGCAACAGCATTCTAATTGTCTTTTAAAATCTTCAGAATGTCCTCAGGTTTAATTTATAGGAAAATGTAATCTCAAACTGAAATTTGTCTTCGTTTACAATATTATAAATATTACGGTTAGCTATGATTGTTGTTACAAACTATTTTAAATCAAAGTGTAACGTCATTTTAAACTTGTAAAAATTATTTAATTATTAAATAGAATGTTAGATTGTCACAGGTACCCTATTCCTTATATAAAAAAAGTATTTAGCTCATGTACACTTACAACTATATCTTCTTCTAGGAAAGCAATAACCCCTTTTTGGCTGGAGAAAAGCTACCAGTTGCTGCGAAGAAGGGAAACAATGTAATATTCTAATCTTTGAAGATTTATTTGACATCAGAAGCTCTGCCTTCAATTTCCAACCGAATACGAAACCATTCCGATGGAATACAACAGACTTTCGGTCGAATTTGAAAACAGGCTCCTGGGACGGATCACGAATACACACAATATTTGCAACAATCGACTCTGGCTATGAAAACGGACTATCCAAAGAACAATAATTCATTTTTATTCTACCCCTGTACGATCAAAAAAAAGTATATTAACTTAGATAGTAGTTGCTTTCAATGTAAGTTTGTAAAGATTGAACCCCTATACTGTTAGAGTTAGAGAAAGAATAAAGTTATTGAATCAGCATTTCTCAGCGAATGATATGAAAACTAAATAACTCGTAACAATGTTTGACATATCACGATGTTGACCAAAAAAAAAAAATATATCAACTTAAGTCATGTTTTAGGCCCTATTGATTTTGGCTGATCTCTATGACAACAAAGAACCTCCGCCGGACCGTCACTCAGATGGGGGCTCTTTGAGGAAAGCGCTTGGCCAAAATCAGAACAAAACTTAAGTGGATGATGACCCTGATAAACCTGACGTAAAACTTATTGACTATAGCATAAAGCATTTCCCCTAAACTAAGTTAGAATGCATGTAGGGTGGTTATAATAACATAATAATAAAATCTAACTCTCTCTTGTGTTTATAGGCTGTTAACAATAAAAACTTATATTTATTGGTGTTTTAAATATTTATGAATGTTATTATAGTTAAGTGGTTAACCATTTTACCAACTGAGGCTTCTTGATTGGTTAAATAAAACAACAGGCACTGAAAAAAATTTCTGTATTTACCATAATCTGGTATGGAATAAATGTATTCTCTTATTGCAGTTTTAGTTTTTTACTAACACCTCAACAACTTCCCTAAATCCATAAATATCTCCGATTTTCTGACAGTAATAAACCAATTTATTTATGAGGAGGTAACCATTTCTGAAATCGATGTACATTTGGATACTGAAATCGTTAAATCGTTGATCGAAAACCCGCAGTCATCATTGCTATCTCAAAATCAATATAGTACGAGATACAAAATTAGAAATATATACCCTCATCTGTTATTTGATGATGACAAAGATTACATGTTTGATAATATGTACATTAATAAATCACAAATGGGTTGCTGCTAAATCACGGGCCAATACTGTTAAATATTATTACCTTTTATTGATCAACTTCGCCGATTTGTTTTTCATGAAAATCGAGCATTATTTGAGAGAATATTACATAAGGAATTGGAAAAATAAAGGTTGCCTACTTTTCCTTTAGTACAACTCTGAAGTTGCCAGGTACAAACAGGTAAAAATGCGTTATTAATATACTGTAATGTTTGTTTATTGTAAACAACACTTTATTTATTAATAATTTAATTAGACACTTATTTATTTTAAAACAATACTATTCTAATTAATATATATTTCGAATGTCTTTAAACTGTTCACTATTTATCTTCACAAATATTTTTATACAACTAACGCTCCGTGTTTCTCCACCAATATTTATATACACAATTAAAATTTTGGCGAAGGTACTAAAATCTTCTTACCAACACTAGAAACATCACTTTATATCTGGAATATACTCGAAAGCGCCTTCACCATAGTCGTCACATATGTTTGGTCTTAAGGGGTTTAATTATGTATGAGAATAAAGTTGAGCCTCAAAGGCCAAATAAGACAGAGAGGGACTTGGAGGATAAGAGCATGACTGAAAAATGAAATGGCTCACATTACAATACCTTCATCAATTATTGGGATCTCAAGATAAGCGATACGCCTTCTACTGGGAACTAATGAACTAAATATTGTGTCCATTTGACAGACTGTGTTCTGTCAAGTTTCGTTTTTTGTTTATCAGGTCATGTCAATAAATGTTATTTTAAAATCTGACAAGTATTTTGTTTGAATAATCTTATTTAATAATGAGCTAATGCTTTAGATTCTTATCTAAATATTTTAAAATATCATATTATTTGAAATATAAGTGGAATATCAATGAAAAATACATTGTGTGTCTCAATGCAGCTCTGAAAAAAAAAACGAACCTTTTTCTTTCATTTCGTATGCTTCCTAAAGTTGATAAAAGTGAAAATTCTGAACTTGTGGATGCAAGATATGCATGGTTACAAAAGTTGAAAATTAAGAAGCCAGTATCAAAGTATTTGAAAGTTTGTTCCATGCACAGCATTTTAAAGAAACTTACAAATTATAAAATTATGGGAAAAAATTGAACACCCAATTTAAATTACCACAAGTCGCTAATGAGTTTCACACAACTTGTGGAATTGGTTACTTTATTCTCTTGTTCTACATTATATTATTTCCTTACGATGCTTTGGTTTGTAAGGTTCACGTTCTTTTTGTTGTACGTTCTAAGTTTTATGTTTGTACTATTGGCGTTTTATTATATTTCACCTTCCTTAGTGTAGTGCTTGATACAATATTTCTAAAGTAGGCCGTGGAAAAAATAAAGCATTTTGAAACATGCAATTCTTCTTTCTTCTTAAATGGATTTAATTCAGAGGCATATATTTTACCTTTTCTGTCTTTGTTGGTCATCATGACCTACTTTAGAAACATTTTTTTGTGGATCAAATATTCCAATATATCATACGAATAATATTAGTAGATAATTATACATTTTACTAGCTAAAATTGTGTTTGGAACAAAGAAGTAGAGAGGGTAGAACGATAAGGTACCGTCTGCGCATCAATCACGAGTGTAGAAATTATGCATGATTTAACCTTCCACTCTTACACATGTAAATGACAAGGAGAGGTTGCCCCAAAGCACTGTAAACAAATTCCAGGATTGGCATTGTTCAGCGATTATGTCATAGATATATAACCAAGACAGATAGGATTATTTACAAAATTTTTGAAGAATGAACGTTGGTGTCCGCGGTACAAACCCATTAATCTGCTTGAACATTGATGCCAAGTTTACGTGCTTTTAACCATAGATATATATATATATATATATAATCAAGACAGATTACACAATTTCTGAAGTCAACGCGGATGATCCTCGACAGAAATGCAATATTTGGATAAAATTAAAATATTGATGCCAAGTTTGCGATGTTTTTAACTGTAGTAATGTTAATGCGTTTGCTTGCAATACTGTTAGGTCTTTAAATTGTTAAAAAAAAAAAATAACGTCTGACAACAGCGGAACTAGAGTATACCGTAATTGTAGTAGGGTCATAGTTTGTTTCATTCATAAAATTCCTTCGATACTTTACTAGTCCAGGAGCCAGTGAATTTTTTTCGTACTTGTTTTCCCGGTCCGTGTATATTTAAATAATATTTTCCCAGTGAACTGTATATTTAAAATGGAACGCCAATCTATTAACAAAATTAAGCCATATTGAATTCGCGCATTACGTCACATCGATACAGGTGAGATTGTGCACAAAGTGCCTCTGCAGGCCTATTTTGATCATTTCAAGTATTTGTTTTTAAATCATGTTAAATTACTATTTTTGAAACTCAACAAGAAGAAAATCCAATTAACTCTTCCGTAAAGTATTAACACTAAAATTTTCCATAAAAACGACCCCATCTCAAGCAACTTATTTTCACTGATTTAAGTTATCGAGTCAGGTTTTATTTTTGTTTTAATAAATTAAAAGTATTCTTTATCGTTAATAGCAATTTAATAGATGAGAAATACGTTTTTTACATTTTTAATGTAATTTACAG